TGTCTCGACTATGGACAGACAGACTGACTATAATCTGAACTGTTGACTGAATATAGTCAGGACGATAGACTGACTACAGCCTGGACTCTAGACTGACTATAGTTTGGCTATATATAATATATAATAAGCCTATAGTTTTCACTATACACTAATCATAGACTGGACTATGAACTGACTGTAGTCTGGACTATATACTGACTATAGTCTGCACTACATATTGACTATAGTTTGCACAATATGTTGACTATAATCTGGACTGTAGATTGACTGTAGTTTGGACTATAGACTGAAATTCGTAATATTAAAAAAAGTAAATCCTGTTTCATTATGTATAGTTGGCGTCACTTTTTGTTAACCACAAAAAAGCTGAAAGTTTATTGATTTATTTAGAAATTTACGCACAAAATAGTAATAACATTAATAATGTGAATAACGATATTGATGACAATAATTTTGCCTTTCAATTTGTCCATTGTAGCAAATCAAAATTTTTGTACTTGAAATACCACAATTCACAAACACTTTTGCCAACACATTTTCAATTGTAAATGATGTAAACGACTTTTTTTGTAGGAATGAATTGTGAGATTGTGAGCCTTCCATTAGCAAATGTTGTCTGTCATTTACAATAATTTTATCATGTTTGCTGTTGGATGGTAAAAATAGAGAGGGAAAGCAGTTTATATCATAAAATATTGTAATACTCTGGTTATAAATAAAGAACCTCCCCATGTTGAACTCACATAAATATAGAGGAGCTGAATATAAAAATAAACTTTCGTTCTTTGTGACATGTGTATGTAACATTCAGGTTCTTCGTTGTTTTTTTTTTTTTTCAGACAATTTTCAGCAATATCCTGCTGTATATAAACACATATTCATGTCCTCCCGCACGTTTACATATAGAAAACACACATCAATAGTTAATAAGTTCATTGACCCTGTGGTATATACATTGTCTTTATCACAATAAATTTACTCACTCACTCAAGGAAAAAATTATGTCCCCTTCGTAACAAACAGAAAATACGAATGAAAAAACCCATTTAAATGTAATGGAATTTATTCATCCATTTCCATCTTCATCATTTTCTTTCTTTATTATATACCGGGTATTACTAAATCTATCTGAATATATGTTTGCTTTAGTGCGTGTAATAGATTCTTTAACTCAATCTTTTCGATTTCCTTCTTCTTCTTCAACCTAGAGAAATTCTATTTAAGGAGGGTTTGTGGGATATAGTTTGCTAAATGAATTGTTGGTTTTGGAGAAGAAGGAATGTTTGTTTATTTCATTCAAAATGTAGATTATTATTAAATATTTAAGCTTTAGCGACATTTAAGACAACGATATGATCCAAATGTAATGTACATAAATAGACTTTAACCAAAAAGTACATATAAAGACAAACATCACTTGTATGGGGGTTGTAAGTGTACACATACTCTTATATGTTTGATTTAAAGTACAGAAGTGGGTAGTTAAAGTAAATTTCATAAGATTATTTTGTATTAAAGGGCTTACTTTACTGCTTCTTAGTAAGCTATTATGTATCCAATTATAGCGTAAGGACTAAAGACACACTGAGCATACAAACTGGGTAAACATCAAAGAACTTTTCTGCTATATTCTTTATTAGTGTTCTTCTGGTAATATCTCCTAGCCTAAGCTTGCGGTAAACTTTCATTTCATTCTGGTGACAACACAGTATTAGCTTGCCCATTCGCAAAGCAAGACTTCTATTACTTATTGTTTAAAAACTTTCCCAACCAACAATATTTTCTTTAAGAAACCCATCATTTCCATTTCCAATATTAAACTAATAATACATTGTCTTCAATACTCTACACTATTCCCCGAATTGTAAATGTTAAGTAAAATCATCAAAACAATTCACTTTAGGTAAATATGATTATTGGGATTATTGTTTAGTAATTGTATAACAGTTGTACAATTCATTATTATAATATTAGTTTGGTCTCTTGCTGTTTGCTATTTGTTGTTTGCAGTTTTCCAATTTTGGAATGTATCATTGAACTAGTAGTATATGCTTCTAATTGGATTTGCCCAATTACCTTTAGTTGGGTGTACAATGTTTATAAATTATAATAAGTTTAACATAATGAAGATGAAAATACTTGGAAAATTCGTCAATAAAAGTAAATGGATCTTTACAGGGATATTAAACTGTAAGAAAGGGACAGGAAGACCAAAGGTTTTTTTATTGTCCATAATATCTACAGTTTAATACCACATTATGTATTAGATTAGATTAATGGACTAAAAACTAGACTATTCAATAGTCCATTGTCCAGACTAAAAATCAGGCTATAGCCCAGATTGTAGACAGGACTATAGTTAAAACTACAGTCCAGACTATAGATTGGAGATTATAGACCTATAGACTAAACTACAGACTAGAATATAGACTAGACTATAGGCTAGACTATAGACTAGACTAAAGGCTAGACAAGACTATATACTAGACTATAGACTAGACTAAAGACTAGAATATAGACTGGAATAGACTATAGTCTAGACTAAAGGCTAGACTATATAATAGACTATAGACTAGACTAGACTTTGGATTAGACTATAGACTAGACTATAGACTAGACTATAGACTAGACTATAGACTAGACTATAGACTAGACTATAGACTAGACTATAGACTAGACTATAGACTAGACTATAGACTAGACTATAGACTAGACTATAGACTAGACTATAGACTAGACTATAGACTAGACTATAGACTAGACTATAGACTAGACTATAGACTAGACTATAGACTAGACTATAGACTAGACTATAGACTAGACTATAGACTAGACTATAGACTAGACTATAGACTAGACTATAGACTAGACTATAGACCAGACTATAGACTAGACTATAGGCTAGACTATAGTCTAGACCAAAGTAAATTAATAAAGTAGCATCACTTGAACAGCTGACTATTTTTTTTAAACTAGATAAATGAAGCAAATTGTCAAAGTTTGTTTTGAAAATTGTTAACATTGTTTACGTCGCCATTTTTAAATTGTGTTTTGCTATTTGTTAAAATTTGTGAAAAGTTGAAAAAGTGAATTAAAAGTGGTTTTAAAGTAGTTTAAAAGTGTAATAAATTGTATAATATATAATAATATAATTAAATCGTTAATATTTTTAACTTAAAAGTAATATTTTTTATTTATGTTTTGTTCACATTGTTGTTCAAGGAAATTTTATTTTGACACAATCTTAAATTATTCCAAAAACAAAATACATGTGGTTGTTGTAGATGTTGTTGTACAACAAGAGATGTCGCTACTTTATTAATATACTTTGGTCTAGACTATAGCCTAAAATATAGACTAGAATATAGACTAGCATATAGGCTAGACTTTAGACTATACTAGACTATACTAAAGACTAGACTATAGACTAGACTATAGACTAGACTATAGACTAGACTATAGACTAGACTATAGACTAGACTATAGACTAGACTATAGACTAGACTATAGACTAGACTATAGACTAGACTATAGACTAGACTATAGACTAGACTATAGACTAGACTATAGACTAGACTATAGACTAGACTATAGACTAGACTATAGACTAGACTATAGACTAGACTATAGACTAGACTATAGACTAGACTATAGACTAGACTATAGACTAGACTATAGACTAGACTATAGACTAGACAATAGACTAGACTATAGACTAGACAATAGACTAGACTATAGACTAGACTATAGACTAGACTATAGACTAGACTATAGACTAGACTATAGACTAGACTATAGACTAGACTATAGACTAGACTATAGACTAGACTATAGACTAGACTATAGACTAGACTATAGACTAGACTATAGACTAGACTATAGACTAGACTATAGACTAGACTATAGACTAGACTATAGACTAGACTATAGACTAGACTATAGACTAGACAATAGACTAGACTAGACTATAGACTAGACTATAGACTAGACTATAGACTAGACTATAGACTAGACTATAGACTAGACTATAGACTAGACTATAGACTAGACTATAGACTAGACTTTAGACTAGACTATAGACTAGACTTTAGACTAGACTATAGACTAGTCCACACTCTATACCATCCTATAGTTTAGAATATAGGCTAATCTATATTTCAAACTATAGACTTATCTATAGCGCAGACTGTAGGCTAATCTATAGCCCAGACTATGGTCCAGATTATAGACTAATATATAGTCCAGACTGTAGACTAATCTTTAGTCCAGGCTATAGACTAATCTATAGTCCAAACTATAGACTAATCTATGGTCCAGATTTGGATAATAGATTGGTCTATCTATTATCCAGACTATAGACCATACTATAGTTCATAAAATAGGCTAGAATATAGACCAGATTATTAACTGGAATATAGACCGTACTATAAACCGGATATGCTAGACTAAAATAGACTATAATTGAGACAATAGACTAGTCTGTGCACGAAACTATAATACAGACTAAAGGCAAGACTACAGTCCTGGCTATAAAGCTATTGGCAAGACTATAGACCAGACTGTCTATAGTGCCGACTGGAAGAACTGTAGACCAATTAGAACACACTATAAAATCTCTGAATGATCAATTACATTTTTTTTTTAATTTCGCTCAAATTAAACACCAAATTTAAGTCAATATATCCTTGTTTTAATATTTAAATTATTGCAACACAAACCTCCTTAAAGCTGTAACAATTTAAAGATAAATTAGAAAGCAGAAAACAATGATTCGGTTTCCACCAAATGAAATTGAATATCATCTGTAAATGACACCCAAAAAACAAGAACAAAAATAACAATGACAGGCATAAAAATAAAAGGAAAATCTAGAAATTGAAACTGAAATAAGAACAACAATAACAAAACAGGAAAAACTCACAATAACATTTGGATAAGAGGGAAAAATAACATTTTCACGATACAAAACACAAATAACAACAACAAGAAGTTAAACATACCCATCAGCATACATGGCAGACGTGCCAGCCATAGCTAAAGCTTTATAACGTGCCTGCTCATCCGTTGGCAGCACAATATCAACGGAACGTGAACGTGTTGCATTGATATTGGGCACTGTTAGAAAACAACCATCACTGGGTTGGAGTTCTTCCGTTTTGCCACCCGAGGAAACTTTCGAAAAGCAGGAGTCAACAGACGCAGCACGATCACGTCTCAAATCAGGTACAGTTAGATAAATATCACGTACAACAAGTGCGTGCTTAGCGGCGGTCGGTGAGCCACATGTGGCCATGGTGGAAACTTCATCGACCGAATCGATAGCATCCACCGAAGATTTATGTTGTTCTTCTTGTGAGACATTTTCCAGAGAATTGCCAGTGGGCTCAACGAAAATAGCTTCTTGGCGGGAAATAGAACGTCTTCGTGGTCGTTGTGTAGAGGGCGAGAGTGGTGGTGGCATAGAATTAGTATTGGAACTGTTGTTTTCATTGTCATCTGTAGTCGTTGTTATTGCTGTGGCTGTATCAGAGGCAGGAGGAAGATCAGTACTAAAGGCTGGTGGTGGTGGTAAAGTTAAATCGAATGATGGTGGTTGTGGCAGTAATTCTAAAGGTGAAATGGGTGGTGGCGGTGGCAGTTCCATAACCGGACTCTCACACACCGATAATGAGAATAAAGGCGAAACAGGAGGTGAACCGGGATCGATGGGAAATGAGTAGGCAGGAAAAGGCGGATAATCACCATTTGTAGGCGATAAAGTAAATGTTATGCCACAGGGCGTAGTAGGAGGCGGGGGCATAAGAGTATTGCCAAAATGCGGAGAATCATGTTCTGACTCCTCGAGACCCTCATCTTCTGAGGTGGTAACTGAACTGCCTATAGTATGGCGACGCATTTGTCGAGGCAAACGAGCTCTGGTCTCATCTATACCGCTAGACATGCCACCCAAACGTATATCCATTTCCAAGGCCGCATCATCATAAACATCTATAGACTCACCACCCAATTGTTCATCTTCGGTACAAGGATTAACATCCTCATCCGTGGCCTCACCATCTTCACCTTCCTCACCCTCTTCCTCGTCACCATCATCATCTTCATCACCACTACCCTCGGAACTGCTATAACTATAACTCAGACTTTTAATTTCCCGATGATCGATAAAATAACGCTGTTCCACCGACATTTGTTTCTCATACTCTTCCAGATATAAACAATGTATACAGGGAGGCGGTGTTTTGGTAGAGGAACTACGGCGGGTTTTACCTCTCCTTGGTACCTCCAAAAAAGTACCCGAATCATCACTACCCGCTGAAGCAGCTGCCGAATCGAAGGAATGTGATCGCTGTGTATGTGAAGCTTGAGGAACTTGCAGAAATCCTCCCTCGGATGAACGTTCATCGGAGGACGATTGTTGTTTGAGAAAGTGCGAAGACATGCGTTGAGCCTCCAGTTGCATTTCATCAAATGAAGCCGAACGTACCTGAAGATTAAAAGGGAATAATAAGGAAATTTTGAGAATTAGTCGGGATATCTCGTTTCACAAGTTTTTAGAGCAAAACGTGCTGTTTTAGGAAAAGTTCTGAAATATTTTATTAAGGAGGCTGAAATGAAAACAATAACATGCTGCAAAATATGAAAGCCAAAGTTTAAATTTAAAAGTAATCAAAATTGGAAATCCTGACAAAGATTGTTTTTAATCTTTAGCAGGATCTGCGACAATTTTGTAAAAAATTAAAAATGAAAGTTTTTAAATAATTAAAAATTAAAGCGAGATAAGGTCTAAGGTTCTGATCGCCACTTCCGTGAATTTTTAAAGATTAAAGTCAGTTTTTTGTTGCATATTTGTCAAGTGTCCTGGGTTTCCCAAATCTTAGAGCAATATTTCTCTTTAAAACTAAAATTCCTCAAAACATGTCATCACACTCATCATGCAATTTCGAAATAATTCCAAAAAAATATCTCATTTTAATATTTCTATTAAAACATGCCAGCGCATGCATTAAATTGAAAAAAAAAAAAAAAATAAAATCTTTCAGAAACATGCATTTGCATTTCTCCTTCCCTGATGCAAAATTAAAAAAAAATACAAATTCATGCAATCGGGAATATTTGTTTTTTACTCCTACAAATTGTTGTGCATATTAATCCCTTAAAGTATGCAAAAGACAGTGAAAATGTGCTCGCATAAAGTTAAAAACCACAGAATCATTACCGCCAACGCTGTCAACAGTAGTGTCATCGTTATTATTACCATAAAATATTTTTCCACAATCATAGTGACACTATTTTTATTGTTTATTTTTTATTATTATTATTTTCTTTTTTTTTTCTTCTGTATATTGTCACAAAAGCACAACTTAATGGATGGTTGAGTGACTGACTGACTGACAGTCGGACGGACGGATGGTTAGTCAAACAGTTTGAATGACGATATGTATGATATTGATAATGATGTTGTTTTGGTTGTTAAAGTAAATTGTGTCACTGATATTCTCGACATTACCAACATACGTACAAACAATGTCACAAAAGGGATTTAAAATGTAAGAGTGTGTAATTTATTGTCATCATGTACATAAATATGTATAATTTAATAAGTTAAACATACACATACGAGGCTTATTAGGAAAGTTTTCGAGACATCAAGAGGAGTTTAGGAAAAAGGATTTAATTATTGAGTTATAGCAGCGTAGGTGAAGATCAGGTTAGACTTTCTCCTAGTACTTCGCAGATTTCTCGACTTAAGTATCCTCTTTGATAAAACTTCTTCATAAAAGACCCCAGACTAGAAGAACTATAAGTTTCACACTAATCTCATCATGTCATCAAAAAAACTTTCCAATACCACAAAGGTCATTGTATTTAATAATACGAGCCCTTTAGGATGTCCCAAATAGAATCCTTCGAACATTCAAATCATTACAAAAAGAAGTTTAGAAACAAACACATTTCTGTTTGGAATGTACCCAAGTACTGTTTTCATTGCTATATAAGTCGCCATCGTCTACAAATGTCTTTGATGGGCTGGAATCTTTGATAACTTCAGTGGTTTTATGATGCTATTATAATGATGATCCTAATATCGCTTGATAAGGACGAAACAAGGAAACTAACAGGTCTTATCGACAAATAAGGGTTATTATGAATCAATACAGTTGACATAAGGAAACTAACGGGACCATATACCGGGCATTTGGTTGGTAGGATGTGTGGGATATACTTTTAGACATTACCAGCAGGAGTACCAATTCCTATTTTCTCGCTGAATAGAAAGGAATTCCTATTATGGTGAACTAAATAGTTGCACGAAACTTCCCATCTTCCTGTCGCCCTTATCTAATAAAAACTCCCAACCTTAGACTAGTTTGTATCTTTGAGAAACCCAGAAATGCGATCTAATAGAATTTGGTATCTCAGCGGGAAATTCTATTCCGATTTTCGTTTTGAATAGCAAGGAATTCTTCCAACTAAATAGTAGCATGAAAGAACCACTCCTGTCTCCTTAATCTAATATAAAATCTCACAAAGCTAAGATTAGATTGTATATTTGAGGAACCTAGAAATGTTCTAGAAGGAACTGTCAGAAATAGACCATTCTCAACTAAAATTATGGATATACTGGATAAAGTTTGGTATTTTCGTCTTCAGGTTCGTTGCCATACACACTGGCTAAGTGAAAAGCCCTATAACTTTGGAAGAACAAAGTTAAGAATTTAATGAAACTATGTAATGAACTCTAGCGTCTTACCAGCAGTACACTATACTTAATACCTAGACGATGCTGAATTCTCTCGGCTAGATAATGTAATCTAGAAACAAAACGAAACTTCCGGAATAACATTTACCTCGTGGGGTCCGATTTAATGAGGTTTTTCGGCTTCCAGAGAACATTTAAAAACTCTTATCTAATTGGACTGCGCAAAAGAGAGTTTCACAAAAGATCAATTCGGATCTAAGCTAGATTATCATTCTAAAATATGTAAATATGTAAATTAAAAAAAAATTCTGCTATTGATATGGGGATAAAAGAAGAAGTCTTGAAAGGATCTTTTAAATACCTAAATTATAATTAGTAATAATATTTAATTACCCTGCAGTCAAACTGGGTCCATATATCTTTTTGTCAACAGTACTAGTTCAAATGTCCTCCAATCTTTCATTTCTGTGTCAATATAAAAAATACAGAGACCAAAGATGTGGTGTATATCTAGTGGCATTGTCAACAAACATGTCACTATTCCTTAAGAAAATGTCTGTATTAAAACTGAATTGACTCGCGATATAGAAATTTACTAGTAAATTCCTGGTTCTAATGTCACCATATGTATCCATGAGAAGTACCTAGTCAATACCAAGTCAATAGTCATAATGTTACTAGAGGATTTTCAATGACACGCACATGTTAAATGTCAATAGCACTAAGCCTTGTATAGGGTATAATTCGACACTAGTACTACTGACAAAGTCAATAGTGATTCAGCACATTTTTAATATTGGCATTTCCTACAGGGTATGTATATTAGAAATTTCGAGGATCTTTGAAAAACTTCCGCATCGTATAAATTTAGGATAGGTTGATAGGAAGATGTATACTACATCAAATCCCAAGAAATACACCTAGGCCACTATCGGGCTTGTTGTGCGCTCCTTTTCATTAAAAAAATTTCACTGAATGAATTATTCTTCAATGTTCAGAAACTTAGTTTCCTGTACGTAACTCCTAAAAAACTTTCAATCCAAGTTAGTCAAGAATGTTGTTTCCGGAATAACATCACTTCCAAGATACTTGGATCTAACTTCGAAGAATGCCTGACAGTGGCAAAGAAAGTGCTCTAGAGTTTCACTGTCCTCTCCACCTGCTCTACATTCGTCTGAATCCGCACGTCCAATATTGCATAGATGTGCTCGTAATCCTGTGTGTCCGTCCACTCAGAATACGTACCATCATACTACTTCAGACTTGCTAATTTTGAGAAGATTTCTCGTCTTGCTCTCATCATTTAGGATAAGGATGCCTTTAAAATTTCCAAACTCATGAATGTGCTTTCAATTTTCCCAAGAACAAGATGCATCATCTAATGCAGAGAGACTTTCTGTCATTAATGGTGATTAAAAAAAACTAAAGTAGATTGAAGTGAAGATGAAGACAAAACCCTTCAAGTTCCTAGTTCGCAGATTCATCACATACTACTACAGAAAGACTTCGTCTTTGGATGAGGCAAATTTTCATTGATATGGACATTACTCGTTATCAAAACGCTCGTCTTAGTTGAGAAACTGAACTTGTACCAAAATTCAATGGGATTATCTGCCCTGCAGTTCGACAAAGAGTCAATGCATCCGAAAAAGACAGTGATTTCCACTAACGTCTAATCATCTGGTTGGATCTAACTCGTCTTTCGTACGGATGTACTCTTTGTAAACGAAGGTGAAAATAATCGTCACTTTAATGCCCCCTTTGTAAGCCAGAGAGGGACTATATAAAAAACAAAGTTAAGCTTTTTGTTTGTCTCTTCGTAATCTATGGGGTGACGAGTGACTTTCTCATAGGACAAGCACATATTAAAATAGCTAGTCACCTGGACAGTCGGTGTCTAGGGTTAACCCTAAGTGGTAGGTTAAATAGGTAGTTCGGGACTGTGCGACCAAACTGCTGGGTGTTCAATCGAACTTCAATTTCTATTTTTGGGCCAACACATTTGCTAATAAGCTTTTGTAAACAATAGTAGAATAAGGAAAAAGAAAAGTGTATAATATTCTTTGTCAATCAGCCGATATTATGAGATATGGTGGTCCAAATAAAATATTGCTCTTGAGCAGTTTTGACTAAGTTGCTTGAGAGTAAGCCTATCCGTCTTTACGGAATTGTTCCTAATGAAAACTTAGAATGTTTTTACATCAAATTAAAAGTAGTGATTAAAGAACTTTCCACAGAACCTATACAAAAACCTTTGTAACTTTATATATCCACTGCAAAATCAGTTCATTATAGTTTTTAATACAAAATGTTTGCTGGGTAACTCAATTGTGCTATAAATTATGAGTGTGAGTTGATACGAATATTTTTACAAGATTAACATACTTTTTCATTAAAATAAATCTCTACCACATTTTTCACTTTGCTCTACAGCTAATGCCATTAGTTTGTAAGGCTAAAAAAAACAAAAGGATTCCTCTCATACATTCAACATTCAAATGATGAATTTACACAGACTTAACATTGTGGTCAAATTGTCATAATATTTTATGATGACTTTTAATGACATAGAGCACAAGTCCTTTATAACAAAAGTTGAGTAAACTAAATGCAACGATAGGTTTGTGAGCTAACTGATAATAGAATTGCAAATTCAACTGTTTAGCGTAACAAAAGTGTGGTAACACTTTGAAACAGAGTTGCAATAATAGACATTTTGGAATTATTACAATAGTATAGCTCTCTGCAGGGTATTTACGATTTCATTGTAATTCCCTTTGTAAACGTAATTTATATTCCTACAATACAACATTTATTAGCTCAATGTACATGTGAAACATAATAATTCAAAGTAATAATTTTCATACAATTCTTCTGTTCTATAAATCTCGTTTTTATTTCATCACTTTTTATGGATTTTAATTCTGCAAAATACTAAAAAAAAAAATATTGTCATTTAAAACTATGTCAGTTTTTTTCCATCCTTTTTTTACTTCATTTTAATTACCATTCATCATCATGTTGTTACATTTTTCCCTTTTTTTTCAAAATGTATGGCACTCAAAGATACAAGTTGTTGAGTAAAACAAAAAAAAAGGACAATGGGGGAGTGATTACATGACAGAAAAAAGATAAAAAAAATGACTGGTCATATTTCAGTTGGTCATATAAAATTATTTATTATGCATAAAAATATCTAGAATTGGGGGAAGTATCAAATAAAGAATATTAAATAAAGCATATTTTACTTTTTCGTTTTACATTTAATTACTTAGTAAAAACTCAAAATATTTATTATTTAAAGTGCATTTGCAAAAGTTTTTGAATGATAGGGGAATAAAATAGATATGACAGAAATTGGACTTTAGTTCTATATTAAAAACTTTTTCCATCAAATAAGATAAATAAACAGAGATCTGTTCCAAGGCATCATTTCGTTGAACTAGTTTACGTCATGGTCGTCTAAGGCGTTTTTCCCCAAAAGTCTGTTTGAAATTTCAGATGCTACAGGGAGAGTAGAAATTCATACATTAACGATTTCGAAAAATGAAAGTGATTTGCGAAAGTCTTTATGTGATCGATTACGAAAGAGTTCAAGATCATAAAATATCTAAAATTTTGAACTATTTCTTGTTGAATGATTCAGTTTTCAAAATGATTCTGTTTCTCTCACGAAACATTCCTTTTCACAGATTATTGTCAAAAGTGAAGGAAATCGAGGAATTTTAGTTTACAGACTATGATGACAGACTTGTTATTGAGTAAGCTAGATCAGGTTTAATCCATAATACAAATACCAATCTTTGGGGTATTTATAGTCGAATAAAATTGAGTAATATGCAGTGATACAGACAATTAGATGAAAAGTTTTATAAATGTCTTAAAATTACCAGTACATTTGACAACAACATGTTTTATAGGAACCAATGACCCTCTTCCTCTCGGTCCATAATTGATCTTGATTATTTGGATCTAATATCGACAAAAACCTGTCAATGGCAGAGAAAGTGTTTCAGCATTTCTCTTTAACATTTAAATGCTCTACATTTCGCGAAATCCGTCCGCTCTTCGTTCCTTCTCATCGTTCTATTATTCTCCTATGGGATTATCTCCAAATTTTTTTGGAATTTATCCGGTTAACTTCTTCAAATTTTCTTCCCTTTATAGTCAGTATAATAATCTTCTTAATTGCTCATGAGACACCAGTGCCCTGGAGAAGATTCCCTAGGCCCGCTTTGTCTCCTAGTATAAAGCCATCTATCTAGTTTGTAGATTCATAAATTCCATATGAGATCATTGCCTCACAGTCGCGACGATTTTTGTCTCTGATATGCGATCGGATAGGTCCGATGTTGTGGTTTAACCGTCTAAGGTTCTGCGACGGCACGCAAGAGACTAGCAGCGAGATCTATCTATCAGAGCGAGCGAGCGAGCGAGTATGAGCGAGGAGCGAGCGAAGCGAGCGAGCGAGCGGCGAGCGAGCGAGCGAGCGAGCGAGCGAGCGAGCGAGCGAGCGAGCGAGAGAGCGAGCGAGCGAGCGAGCGAGCGAGCGAGCGAGCGAGCGAGCGAGCGAGCGAGCGAGAGCGAGCGAGCGAGCGAGCGAGCGAGCGAGCGAGCGAGCGAGCGAGCGAGCGAGCGAGCGAGCGAGCGAGCGAGGAGCGAGAGCGAGCGAGCGAGCGAGCGAGCGAGCGAGCGAGCGAGCGAGCGAGCGAGAGCGAGCGAGCGAGCGAGCGAGCGAGCGAGCGAGCGAGCGAGCGAGCGAGCGAGCGAGCGAGCGAGCGAGCGAGCGAGCGAGCGAGCGAGCGAGCGAGCGAGCGAGCGAGCGAGCGAGCGAGCGAGCGAGCGAGCGAGCGAGCGAGCGAGCGAGCGAGCGAGCGAGCGATCGAGCGAGCGAGCGAGCGAGCGAGCGAGCGAGCGAGAGCGAGCGAGCGAGCGAGCGAGCGAGCGAGCGAGCGAGCGAGCGAGCGAGCGAGCAGCGAGCGAGCGAGCGAGCGAGCGAGCGAGCGAGCGAGCGAGCGAGCGAGCGATCGAGCGAGCGAGCGAGCGAGCGAGCGAGCGAGCGAGCGAGCGAGCGAGCGAGCGAGCGAGCGAGCGAGCGAGCGAGCGAGCGAGGAGCGAGCGAGCGAGCGAGCGAGCGAGCGAGGCGAGCGAGCGAGCGAGCGAGCGAGCGAGCGAGCGAGCGAGCGAGCGAGCGAGCGAGCGAGCGAGGAGCGAGCGAGCGAGCGGAGCGAGCGAGCGAGCGAGCGAGGCGAGCGAGGAGCGAGGAGCGGAGCGAGCGAGCGAGCTAGCGAGCGAGGCGAGCGAGCGAGCGAGCGAGCGAGCAGCGAGGCGAGCGAGGAGCGAGGAGCGAGGGAGCGAGGGAGCGAGGGAGCGAGCGAGCTGAGCGAGCGAGCGAGCGCGAGCGAGGCGAGCGAGCGAGCGTAGCGAGCGAGCGAGCGAGCGAGCGAGCGAGAGGAGCGAGGAGCGAGCGAGCGAGCGAGCTAGAGAGCGAGCGAGCGAGCGAGCGAGCCGAGCGAGGGAGCGAGCGAGCGAGCGAGCGAGCGAGCGCGGCGAGCGAGCGAGCGAGCGAGCGAGCGAGCGATATGCGAGCGATCTAGCGAGCGAGCGAAGCGAGCGAGCGGAGCGAGCGAGCGAGCGAGCGAGCGAGCGAGCGCGAGCGAGCGAGCGAGCGAGCAGCGAGCGAGCGAGCGAGCGAGCGAGCGAGGAGCGAGGAGCGAGGGAGCGAGGAGCGAGCGAGCAGAGCGAGCGAGCGAGCGAGCAGCGAGCGAGCGAGCGAGCGAGCGAGCGAGCGAGCGAGCAGCGAGCGAGCGAGCGAGAGCGAGCGAGCGAGCGAGCGATAGCGAGCAGAGGCGATGCGAGCGAGCGAGCGAGCGAGCGAGCGAGGAGCGAGCGAGCGAGCTAGAGCAGAGCGAGCGAGCGAGCGATCGAGCATCGAGCGAGCGACCCGAGCGTAGCTAGTCTAGCTAGTCGATGCTAGCGATCGAGCTATCGAGCTAGCTTAGCTACGATCTAGTCGTAGCTAGCGAGCTTATCTAGCTATCTAGCTATCTATCGATCTAGCTAGCTATCTAGTCTATCTAGCTATCGGATCTATCTATCTATCGATCTATCTAGTCTATCTATCCTAGCTATATGCTATCTCAGCGATCTATCGAATCGATCTATCGATCTATGCTATCTATCTATCTATCTCTGCTAGCTATCTATTCTATCTATTTATCTATCTATCTATTTATCTATTTATCTATCTATCTATCTATCTATCTATCTATCTATCTTATCTATCTATCTATCTACTGGGGCAGAAAAATATTCACTTCAATCTCACTTTATTTCTTGTATTGACCTCCATGTGGGAAACTCCTGGGATTAGGACTGATTCCAAAGCATAGGAGACCATTGACAGAAGATAACTAACACAGAACCAAGTCACGACACAGGACCCAGAACCTTTTCAAGTTTCACAATTTATATAGATTAAATCTGTAACTTTAATATTACGATGAGTATTCTCTTCAAAAGTCAAAAAATGTGGGAATTCGTCGGGAGTATTCAGTTTATAAGAAACAATAATAATCATGCATATATTTAAATAAAAATTAAAAATTAGAAATTAACTATTACAACAACAATTAGAGCAAAACTGAAAACAATATCAATATTTTAAATTCACACCTGTTTTGGTACTTCAAGACTATTTTGAGTTTTCATTTCAGCACCAGTTGGGGTACGCGAACGCGTAAATGTTGTACGTAAACGTTGCATGTTTTTTTCACTTTCTCTTACAAATTATAACTAATTTAAGGATTTTATTTTAATTTTTAACAATTCTTTTTACAACAAATATGTTATTCTTCAATTTCTATTTTTAATACTTCAAGGATATTTTAAGTTTTATGATGTTGAAGTTAGAATTGGTATCACACAAAAATCTCCATAATTTTTAGAATAAATTCTAATACTATTGCAAAATTCTATTGGCTGTTGCAATTGCGGTTTTTGCTGGTGGTGGTATGAAAGTGTTGTTGTTAACTGTTTCTGGTCACCTATAAAATTTAATAAGACTTCTTTGTCTGCTGTGGCAGAAGTTGCCAGCAACCTTTTTACAAAGTTATCTTTTGATTTGTCTATTTTATCGATGTTTTTATTGCTGTTGTTGTTTACAATTTTTATACAATTTGTTGCTGTTGATGGTACTTCTGTGGTTACTTTTCCTGATGCTGCTGTTTGTAAAACCCTTGAGGCTATAAACTCATCAAATCCCATTTTTATTTTCTATACCAATTGTTGTTTTGTGGTTCAAGGATTTCGATTTTAGTTTTTTATTACTTTGTATTTCTTTTTTTTAAGGTTGCTAATTTTTCTCTCAATTTTATGGAAATTCCTTAAGTGTTTTTTTGCTTTTGACTCAACACCTTTTCTTGAGGGGTTTTAACAACAATTTGTAACTGCAATTAGAAAGAAAAGAAATAGAAAATTAAATTTAATATTAATTTCGAAAAACATTTTATTAATATCCCTAGAAATTAAAAAGCAAAAAATTTGCATAATTTTATTTTTGTTTAATTTTTCATTCATAGAAAGTTATTATAAATTGAAACCCTTTTTTTTCAACAAAAACTTTCTGTTACAATTTTATCGCTTTTTCCAGTCCTTTTCTTTTGAATCAATTTGTTCTTTTTTATTTTAAATGACAAAACACTTGTGCTGGTTATTTGTAAGCTCCATAAATCATTAAATATGCTTCATTTCAAAGTATAATAATCTATTTCTCTAAAAGTTTTCCAAGTACTTTAATGTCAAATATTTAGTGGCTAAAAGTTTAGTTTTATTCCTCAGTTCTTACACTAAGAAAAAAATTATGATTGGTCAAGGGTTTAATAATCATTAATAATCATTTTCATGATTGGAGGTTCTGTTATAATATCCCAGCAAACAAAGAACTTCCAAAGAAGCGAAATAGAAGTAGAATTTACCTCTTGGAGTACTGAAAGAGACCTGAAGAAGTGATGATTTTAACACAGGCTTGTCATGGAAGGATGACCTTTTATTCGATTCCAAATTCACCACTTCTGAAGTCGTTCTCAAGATGTAATTTTAATGGTCTTTTTTGGAAGTTATTCGGAAGTGAAATTGTAGTATTTAGAATACAACTAATTTGACTTAAATAATATTAACATTAATTAGACACATACATTTAACGCAAAAGCCTAAAATATATTTTTTATCTCATAAAAATGTAATAACAAAAAATATATCTTCAACATTACAAAAGAATTATTTTCGTCTCGGAGTCTTTAAACATCACTTCCCCAGAAGATAAAAATTCAATTAGTGCGACTTTGAAGGGGGAGAAAGGGGAGGCGGGGAGAAGGACGGCAGGGGAGGGGGGCGGGGGCGGCGCGGGAGCGAGCGAGCGAGCGAGCGAGCGAGCGCGAGGAGCGAGCGAGCGAGGAGCGAGCGAGCGAGCGAGCGAGCGAGCGAGCGAGCGAGCAGCGATCGAGCGAGAGGCGAGGAGCGAGCGAGCGAGCGAGCGAGAGCGAGCGAGCGAGCGAGCGAGCGAGCGAGCGAGCGAGCGAGCGAGCGAGCGAGCGAGCGAGCGAGCGGCGAGCGAGCGAGCGAGCGAGAGCGAGCGAGGAGCGAGCGAGCGAGCGAGCGAGCGCGCGAGCGCGCGAGGAGCGAGCGAGCGAGCGAGCGAGCGAGCGAGCGAGCGAGCGAGCAGCGAGCGAGCGAGCTAGCGAGCGAGCGAGCGAGCGATCGAGCGAGCGAGAGCGCGCGAGCGAGCGAGCGAGCGAGCGAGCGAGCGAGCAGCGAGCGAGACGAGCGAGCGAGAGAGCGAGCGAAGAGCGAGCGAGCGAGCGAGCGAGCGAGCGAGCGAGCGAGAGAGCGATCTGATCGAGCGAGCGAGCGAGCTAGTCTAGCGAGCGAGCGAGCGATAGAGCGATCTAGTAGCGATCGTATCGATGCTATCGCTAGTAGCTATCTATCTATCGATCTAGCTATCTATCGATCTATCTATCTATCGATCTATCTATCTATCTATCTATCTATCTATCTATCTATCTATCTATCTATCTATCTATCTATCTATCTATCTATCTATCTATCTATCTATCTATCTATAAAACTTTTTCTCTAAGTGTTTACAACTTATGCTGACGCGGCTGGCTGCTGGAAAAGAAATATTAATAGTTTTTAAGTGAAATAAGTTGCGGAAAAGTTTTTCTTTCAATCCGTTCTTAAGTAATAAATCATTAGCAATTTATTGAAGCATGGCGGTTTATTAAAAGATAAGTTGTGATTAATCGTAATTTATTCTTAGGTTTTTTGAGCGTTTGCTTATTAAAAAAAAGTTTTTAAAATTTTAATAAAATATTGAAGAACTACACTCAAGTTTTAGTATTAACAAAGATTTGCTCAATTAGGCGCAATACTCAATAGAGTTGACATAGGACTAGTAATGGAACTGGGTCATGGTCAAAGCAAATGGTATGAAGGAAATAAAAGCTATATTTCTTAATTTCCTTAAGCATTCGTTTAGAAATGAAAATTTAATAGTTTCTACTAAAAACTCTTTAATAAAACAGTTATTACTAATGTTAATAACTTTCAAAATTTCATTTGTGTTTTTTCTTTATAAATTGTTTTCGTCCAGAAAATCATAAATTAAAAACAAATATTATTTTCCATTTTTTTGTTAAACCCTTCAAGAAGTTAAATCTGCACATAAAAGAAAACAATTCTATTTTTTTTTCATAAATTTCATTTATTTGCTTGATATAGAACAAAAACTGATTTTTAATTAACTTGAAAATATTTCGTTAGTCAAGTTTATGAAACAAATGGAAAAAAAGAGATATGAAAACATATTACTGGCAGATGTAATTTCTATGCAAATACATACATATACACACACCAACACTTGCATATATATACATAGAGCATACATTGTAAAATAAAAGGATTTTTAAAAGTCAAACTCAACCACCTATATAATTTTAGTAAGAGGGCTTCGTTCGAATTAAGGATTGAAACTGGAATAGACATTTTTGAATTTTTACATAAATATCTTTAAATATTTGTTTGTGAAATTAAAAGTAACACCCTAATTTTCTTTATATCCTTTACATATTATGCTATGGGTGACAAAAAATTATTTTTTTTAAAACAGTCATAAAAAGGTAAATGTGAAAATGAGTGAAAAAAATAGTTTTATAAAAACCTTGCAAGCAAAAAACTATTAAATATTTTTTTCTATTTTATGAGTAAAACTAAAATATAGATAAAAAGCTAAAACCACAAAAAACAACTCAGTTTTTTCTTGCTCACACTGATAATCCTTTTAAATATGTTAAATGTTAATGTTAAAAGAGCGTGTAATTAAATAACACGTTTATAACACATCGGTCAAATATTTGATCAAATAAATGTAAAGTTTTAAGAAAATTTGGTTTAATATTAAAAAATGAATAAAAATTTGTTTTGACGATATTTTTCTTTGTTCAACGACTTCCAGGACAAACCTTAGAAGTTCATTTATTACATGTATCTCTCCAAAGCAGAGATCTGCAAAAAGAGAACTTGTCGTACATTTTTGCCAAAAAGGTAACAAAGCCTTCTTAAGTGAATGCTAAATGTTTTGTATGAAAATTTTGATCTTTATTGTTTTTTGTTTCAAAATGTCATTTACAAATGTGTTCGGTATTTATTTAGTGACCAAACTTTTGTCCTTGGACACCAACAACCACTGCTTTAAATTACTTTTCTCTATTTTTAACAAACAATTCCACATAGTTTTTGTTTCCTTGCAAATTCATAGAGTTGGCATATTGTTTATCTTTCAGTTCACCTTTGGCTGTTAATATCTCCCAGTTATTACCTCGAGTAGAGACCATTTAGCAATATATATTTTTTTTTCATATTTATTTAGTTGAAATTTTAATTTCGGTTTCGTTTGTAGTGAAAAAATATTCTTCAATGTTTTTGTTAGAATGCGGGTTACAGTTTTGTTACATTTATATTTCTGTATTTTCCCATTTTAGTTGCTTTTTAAAATTTCAATTTTGATAAAAACTCAAACTAAAAGTGTAAATTACATGTATAGCCTTTGAAACGTGTAAATTTACAAATGAACAAAAGTTGTACTTTTTTATTTAGTTGTTTACAAAATGAAATGAAAAGTTTTAGATTAAAAATTGTTTTCAAATGGTTTTTTGTTAAATTCAAATTGGGTATTTTTATTAAAAAAAGTGTGGTCAACGTTGTATTACTATAAATAGCAAAAGCTGCAAAATATCTTGCTATCACATATTTGTATGATGCTACTATCGTCAGCAAGTTATAACTGGTTATATAACTCATCTGTGTATGACATCCATCCATTCGTCCATTAACACTATGCGACAAAAATAAATACCTGGGAAGTGATACTATTTTTCTGAATGGTGGATCCGAGTAGAATAAGAATATGTTTTTGAAATTTGCCTCCAAAATCTTGAGTTATGGATAAAAACCGGTTTTTCGTACTTCTAAGCACTTATGAGTCAGTAACTTAGTTGAATCTGAACCGATTTTAAGTTTCTCCACGGATTTAGAAAGCAGAAGTTGAGGCCTTTATAATGACATACTATATAACGTTTAGGTAACTTGAAGAGATATGTCTGAGTTTCACCAGCAAACATATTTCTTATTTTAGTTTTGCACCGTTGTCCAAGTTTGGAGATGTTTTATGAAAGTATTTTCTATGGAAACCGTATCATTTATTAACTGATTAGAAACCCATGAAACCCAAACTTTGTTTTTAAAAATCCGTAAGCAATTGACGACGTTATTGGTCTTTTTCTTAATACAAAATTGTTCAAAAACTGATTTCTGAAGGATGCTTTATATGGGGGATAGGGTTAAATATGGGTCGATCCTCGAAAAATTTGGTGGAAGGATTTATGTTTATATAAAAGTTATTTATTCTGAATTTCATCGTGATATTAATATTAAGAGGAGAATTATGGAATTCAAGTCATTTTCTGATGCAGGGTTGTATGGGGACTAGAGTCAAATAAGACCGTATTGTCTAAAGAATCTGCAGTAAACTCATTTATACCGATTTTGTATCGATCGGACCTTATTTGAACATAGTCCCCATGCAAATCCCCGAAGCAAACGACGTTAATATAATTATCTTAATACATCAAAGGCACTAAAGAAAGCCGCCACCAAAGGGGATGAGGAGGAGCGAGCGAGCGAGCGAGCGAGCGAGCGAGCGAGCGAGCGAGCGAGCGAGCGATCGAGCGAGGAGCGAGCGAGCGAGCGAGCGAGCGAGCGAGCGAGCGAGCGAGCGAGCGCGGAGCGACGCGCGAGCGAGCGAGCGAGCGAGAGAGCGAGCGAGCGAGCGAGCGAGAGAGCGAGCGAGCGAGCGAGCGAGCGAGCGAGCGAGCGACCGAGCGAGCGA